TTTACTTTAAGAGGACTCGCGCTCAGGTAGTCCCAGGCAGGGTGCTGCAAACCGGCGCCCAAAACTACCAAGCAAACTTCTAAAGCTGAACCCCAGGGACGTGTACACTCACGGGGACCTAGCAGGGGGCGCCACCGAGGAGAACAGTGGAAGGGCAAAAACAAACTGAATAAAATGACAGAACCCCCCACCAGGCAAAAACAAAAAGAAAAACAAAACCCCACAAGAGGACAGCGAACCCCAAGGAACAGAGCCGGCCGCGATGTCGGGAATTACAAGCTGAGCAGCACCCTGCGCCCCTACCAGTGCAAACTGCCTCTTACCTGCCGGTAACAAGGGAGAACAGAACACCCAAGAGCCCAACAGGCGGCCGAAAAACCGAAAGGTAAAACGGACCAGCAGAGGCAGACCCCGAGGAGCCTGTGGAAGGTGGCCCCAAGCCCCAAGGGCAGTACTTACAGGGCACCTAGGGAAGGCAGCCCTAGGCGCATGCAGCCCGAGTACTGAAGATAACTCCTGGCTCTCGCACCCACAAAACTAACACCACACTCAAAGCACAGTGCAGTAGCGACACCGGAGCCAGAGCACACGACCATCGCCTATAGCATCAGCCTCAAGAACTGAGGTGTGGGTAGCCGGCGCGGGGGGTCTGGGGCTCCCCCTTCCCCCTCCCGGGGAGGGGGGAGCTGCGCAGACAGCGGCGCGGCAGTGTGTGACGTCACACTAATTTGCTTGTTTTCGGTTGGGGAGTTCTATCCACTAGTTCGGTATTAGGTAGCAATTTTAACCAGAATAGGGGTTTGTTTTGGGGCGCTTACCTTTCTGGGTGCCTGTTCCGGTCGATGGCAGACATAGAATGCTTCCAACTACACGGGGGCTTCTATAGGCCATTGCTCCCCTTGCCTCTCTGAGGGGGCCCGGTTCTGGCCGTGGTCCCCGGTAGGCCTAAGAACTCCATACACATGACTGATGCCAAAGTCTGACATTAGCATATCAGCCTGGGATAGCTCCGGGGAGCCGACGGGGCTCCCCCCAGAAACTAGCTATAAGTTCATCTAATACTCCCATCTCACAGGATGGTTAGTCATACATGGAATCAGGGGAGAAAATACATGCCTCAATGCAAAAAACAAATAAACCCTGACTAAACAATAACTTCATGATTTTCACAAGAGGTAAGCACTGAATCATGGAAACATTATATTACAACAACTCTTAATAGTTTCTACAAGACTCCTCTCAAACAATGTATTTTTTTAACATGATTAGGTATACACAGCAATGTGCTGCTTCCCTATTCTGTATGAAGGACCATATAATCCATGCTCGGAAACTCTCCCTGGACAGATGTAATAGGACCCATTATCACCACACCAGAAATAAATATCTCTTTAATATCCCCAGAGTCAAACTTAATCTGTGTAAACACTCTATGCAAATAAAGGGACCTAGTCTATGTTACTCACTCCCTAATGAATTGAAAAGCTGTCAAACTTTTGCCTCATTCAAAAACAAAAACAAAAAGTACAGTACCTAATTTCATCTTCATAGTTTCCTACACTTTGCTTTAAATTTGGTCTGTATCTAGTGTTACCCAATCTCCTAATCTTTATGTACTTAATGCAAACAACTTTACCATTGTGATCACTGCTGTCTTCTTTTCAGTGCTAGCAATATGCTGTATTGTGCCTTGTAATTTTTGTTAAACTATCAAAAACTCTCGGACAAGGAAGCGGTCCAAGAGTCCCACACAAGGCCCAGCCAGGTCCGAACCTGGGAGGGAACCAGATGGGACTTCCTCCAGTTCACCAAGAGCCCAAACCTTGAGCTGAGAAAGAACCAGATCCCTGGCTAGCAGACAAGCGGACTGATCGGGAGCCCAAACCAGCCAGTCGTCGAGGTAGGCCAACACCCGAACACCTAACAGACGCAGACGGGTCACCACGACCCGCGTGAGGCGCATGAAAACGCGAGGTGCCAGGTTCAAACCGAATGGAAGACAACGAAAGCGGTAAGCACGAGGCCCCACAACAAAACCGAGCCAGTCCCTGAACCCCGGATGAATCGGGACGTGCCAATAAGCGTTCCGGAGATCCAGGAACACCATCCAAGCGCCCGGCTCCAATAGAGTCGAACCTGGGACTGTGTGGTCATCCGAAAGGAGGAGCAATGAACCCAGGGGTTCAGATGGGACAAGTCCAGAATGAACCGCAGGTCCGCGCACGGGACTGGAAACAGACGGGAAACCCATCTGAGGGGCGTCGTCGTTTCGACCATGCCCAAGCGAACCCACTCCAAAATGACCTGACAGAGCGCAGGGGAAGAAGCCTGCCCTGCCAGCCCTGAGCCGCTCGCAGAGGGAGGAGCCACCCAACGCCACCGGCGGCCGTGCGAAACGACCCGAAACGCCCACAAATCGTGGGACCAGGCGTGAGCGAACAGCACAAGCCTCCCCTCCCTCGCCCCGTCAATAGGGCGAACCGCGAAAGGGCTGGCGCCCCTTACGAGACCCAGAACCTCGCACAGAGCGAACACCGCGCCGACCAGACGAAGGAGGGTCCGAAGGAGGCGCCGAATCAGAACCTTACACCAGTGGCCTACCACGACGAGAGGAACCCCGAGTCTTGGCACGACCCTTCCGGGAAGGCCCACCATGGGACCCCCAGAGAACTAGCAAGTCCGACATAGGACGGCATGAAGCCGAAGCAGCCTGAATAAACTGCGCTACGGCTGAAGCCTCAAACAAGAGAGGAAAAAAAGGGGAAGAAAGCCTAAGAACCAAGGCCCAAGCGGATTCCACAGAGGAGGCAAGCACCACCTGCCAACACGCAAGCCGGGAGGCATAAAACAGAGCCACCGCATCTCACAAGATCAGCGCGAAAAGCTTCAGCATGGCAGCCGACGAGCGAGCCGCCGAGGCCAAGGCGCCAGACCCCGGAACAGCCCCAAGCGCCTCCACATCCTCTGTGAGCCAGTCAGAAGACAGCTTCAGGAGGGAAAAGAAGTGCAAGGCCGCAACCAAAAGGCCCCGAGCACGCAAGTCCTCCGCCACCTGCGCCGCCGAAAGGAGGGGAACCTGCACATGGAGCTGAACGACATCAACATCCCGGGGAAGGGCAGGAGCAAACAAGCACTCATTGAGGTGCTCAAGGTGGCCCCCCAGGAAAACCTGAAGCACCGTCGAAGCCTCCCGCCACTCAAGCGTGTGGGAGAAGGAGTGATAAGCCTCCGAGGCAAAGACAGGACAGTCCGCCAGCCAGGACGATTCCGGAACCTCGTAACGGAGCCAGAAAGGAAAAGAAGTCCCAAACCTGAAAGTTGAGGGATCCATTGCCGAGGCATAATCTGGGTCACGCAGGAGGTTCGCCACAAGGGCCACCCGCACCGCAGCAGATTGGATGCGATAAGCCAAAAACCTCCGGAAAGACAGAACCGAAGCACCCGGGGGAACACGGAACCGAACCAGGGGAGGGGCAGACACCAAATCCAATTCGTACACAGAGGGGGGAAAAGAAAACCCCACTCCTTGCAACAGTAAACCCCGCTCAGAGGGTACAAAAACCCAGGCAGTGTCCAGCGGGGCCCAAGGCCCCCAAGTCAGTCCCTACCCAGCCCCAGAGTCCTCTCCAGCAGGACCCGGGGCCGAGTCCTTCCCCCAAGCACCGACCCCACTAGACAAGGCCGGCGCAGCCATAGAAGCCGGATAGAAAGAGGCCCACTGGTCAGACCCAGAGGCTTCGGCCGGGGCATGAGTCTCGAATGCCTCCGTCGCCACACCGGAAGGGGCATCCCCCAAGGCTGCCCAAGTCTCAAGACCAACTAACCCCTGCCCCGACTCCGAAACCCTCAGATGTTTCAGGGCCAGAAGCAGGGGGACCAGAACGCACAACGGGAGGGGAAGGACCAGGAGGTGCGGACTGAACCAGGGTCGAAGCGACCCCCACCCCCATGTCCGGGTCCCTATAAGCAAAACGAGGTAGCCGCGGGGCATCCGGATGAACAACCAACCTAGCGCGTTGCAACAACCGAAACCTAGAATGCTACGCTTGTGCAGCCTGTACCTGAAGATCATCATCTATAGACTGGGTAAATTGAGTCACCAGCAAGCAACAGTACTCACAGGACTCAGGGTCAAAAGTGTCACCGACCCAACAGGCTGCATGACGGAGGCAAAAACCGTGAGGGTCGCCCTGAGACAAGGGGACCGAACAACCCTCAAACTCGCACAAAGTGAGGGGGGACCCTGGGGTAACATCCATCGGACCCATGTGTCCCCTAGGGGATTCCCAGGGTCCTGAGCATTTACTTGAAGAGGACTCGCGCTCAGGTAAACACAGGCAGGGTACTGCTAACCGGCGCCCAAAACTACCAAACAAACTGTCTAAAGCTGAACCCCAGGGAGAGGAACTTGTGGAAGGTAACCCCAAGCTTTAAGGGCAGTACTTACTGGGCACCTAGTGAAGGGAACCCCAAGCTTTAAGGGCAGTACTTACTGGGCACCTAGGGAAGGGAACCCTAGGCACATGCAGCCCGAGTACTGAGAAATAACTCCTGGCTCTCGCACCCCTGGAGAACAGCAGCTACACGCAAGGCACAGCGCCGCAAAAAGACCGGAGCCAGAGCACACAACCGAGCCGATAGCATCAGCCTCAAGAACTGGGGTGTGGATCGCAGGCGCGGTAGGTCTGGGGCTCCCCCTTCCACCTCCCGGGGAGGGGGGGGCTGTCGACACCGAGTACGGGCAGCGCTATGGCACGGTCAATTTCTTGTCTGAGGGAGGGTTCTTGGGCATAATGGAAAGGTGTTGAGGGTCAATTTAAGATAGTCAGCAAGAACATTTGCACGCTCCTGAGGTGTTTGGCAGAGTGAGCCGTTGATCATCAGAGGAAACGAAGGGAATGTTGGTTGACCTTTAATGCTATTAATAAGACCTTAATACATCTTGCTCCTTAGAACAATTACCGGAATATAACTATGTTCACACTACAACTTATACTCACTTTCACTGGATAAATTGGTATTTATTGTTATTGATTGTGGGGCGACGACCTAGGAGGTCTCAGCTGTAGGTTTGTAAACATCAGCAGCTGGCAGCGTTCGCGCGAGCATCCGGATGGCGAGTGACGTCACTAGACTAGCGGCGGCTTACTCAACTCTTATGGCTTCGATCTCCTGTTTTAATTCGCACTGGCTGAGACAGGAAGTCTGTGTGGCTCCTCTTGGGTTGAAGGTCATCGATGAGGTTCTTGATAAGCCTAAAGAGGATGGATGAGAGGCATGAAGACACTAATGATCATAACGCACTTTACCTCATCATCGGATGCAAGAAATAAATCAACGTGGTTGGTTGATAGTAAATTTGACCAACTCAACATGTCAGAAATGTTGACGGAGCCACATGTAAGATAGATTAAAAAGATAGAGGCTAACGGTATTGGGGGTGCTATATTAAGCTGGATTAGGGCATGGCTATACCAAAGGATCGGACAGCAGGAACAAGGAAGAAAGCGTGGTAAGACAACGATAGCCTCTGTGACCAACATTTCGGAGAAAGGCAGTAGGAAACGAAGCCGAAAAAGTGTACCTCGTGGTGATGAGGTGGAGGGCAGCGTTGTGGAGTCTGTGGTCGGTACAAAGATCTTTGAATACCTCAAAAAGTTGGACAAGAAGATTTAATTGAATCTCTAGAAAAAATAGCCATGGCAAGCAAATGAGGTGTAGTGGAAAGTGAAGTGAGGAATGAAACGGAAGAGGAAGAAAGTAAGGAAAAGAATAAAGTTTCACGGATGTAAGATGGAGGGAGTTATCAGGGGAAAGCGCTAAGCCATGACGACTATATAGCCCTTGGAAGGGGTCAGGATAAGGATTTGGGATGAGACGGGCGGAAAGGAATGGTGCTCAACCACTTGGATGGTCAGGGATTGAATGCCGACCTTCATGAAGCAAGACCGTCGCTCTACCGTCCAGTCCAAGTGGTTTGGACAAGGATGGAAGAGTCTCAGGAAAATTAACTATCCACTACTTTTGTATACCTTTTTTCCTGAGCCTCTCCGTCAAAATGTTCCACCACACTGGATTGAACACTGCCTTCATTAGTGGATAGTTCATTTTTCATGGATACAAGAGTCTCAGGAAAATAAATAATAATATTTTATTTATAACAAGGTTCAATGGGTTGGTAAGATTACATTAAAGCAATAATTTTGCACTCTTGCAAAGCCACTAACACGCATAGCGTTTTGGGCAGGTCCTTAATCTAACATATTAGGTAAGATGACAAGGTACATTGTACATGGTAAGATGAAAAGATACATTGTAGCAAGGTTGATACATTGTATCAACAATATAAATCGACAGGTGATGACACTGGTACTTAATTAGTCTTAAATACTAATATTGGGGAAGTGGGTAGTACAAGATACAGTGTGAGTTTGAAACACAAGGTAGGAAACTATGAGGATGAAATTAGGTATTTTCTTATTTTACTTTTGAACAAGGCATGGGTTGGACAATTTTGTAATTCATTAAGGAGTGAGTTTCAAAGAATGGGCCCTTTTATTTGCATAGAGTGTTATCTTGAGGTTATCTTGAGTTGATTTCGGGGCCTTTTTTTTTTAGTGGCCCCGCGGCCCGGTCCTTGACCAGGCCTCCACCCCCAGGAAGCAGCCCGTGACAGCTGACTAACTCCCAGGTACCTATTTACTGCTAGGTAACAGGGGCATAGGGTGAAAGAAACTCTGCCCATTGTTTCTCTCCGGCGCCTGGGATCGAACCCAGGACCACAGGATCACAAGTCCAGTGTGCTGTCCGCTCGGCCGACCAGCTCCCGCTTTGTACAGATTTCAAATCAAATCTGCAACGTACGATTATGTTACGTTGTTGGGTTGATCAGATATACAGTGTTTAGTGAGTTTCATATTTATTTAGTAGTCCTGGATACAGCAGTGTCGTAGACGTTGAGACGAAGCCTGGAGCAGAGGAGAGAGCTGAGTGAGGCCGGAGTCGCGGAGCTCTATGTGGGAGAGCGTTGTAGCTGGATGAGGTCGTAGTCTGCTGCCTGCTCTGTGTTGAAGCTGTAGCATCTTGGGTCGATTAGAACCGCCCACGCCGACTACTACATTCTTGACTGGAGATTGTACTGGTTCGCAATTCGAAGAAGAAGATTAAGGCACCCAAAAGGTGGCACGGGCATGAATAGCCCGTAAGTGGTGATCCTTTTGAGTCATTACCAGTATCAATAGATGATACTGGAGATCTGTGGAGGTGCGACTGCACCCTGCGTGACGGGAGATGTCTCCCGTGGAAATGAAATTGATTGATTGATGAAGATTAAGCCACCCAAGAGGTGGCACGGGCATGAATAGCCCGTAAGTGGTGGCCCTTTTGAGCCATTACCAGTATCAAGAGCTGATACTGGAGATCTGTGGAGGCGCGACTGCACCCTGCGTGACGGGAGATGTCTCCCGGACCAAGTGGTGACCAGATGGTGGTGGTTCGCTATTCGATTGATTGATTGATAAAGATTAAGCCACCCAAGAGGTGGCACGGGCATGAATAGCCCGTAAGTGGTACAATTTTTTTTTCCCCCAGTGTTCTGAGGTTGCATTTAACCATCAAGCTGTTATCGTGGGGGAGGATACTGCTTCACAGTCTTTATGAGGGTGTCCAGCTGCTGGACACCTTTGTTGACCAGGAGAGTGGCTGTGTTGATGGCTTCAGGGTGGCCACTGCATGATTCAGGAACTCTTAAAGCTCTTCTACATGGTATTTGTGCTTGGGGCTCTACTACCCGAAATCACTTACGTCCTCTAATTACTCAACACAAAGCTGCTATTAGGACAATATCCAATTCTGGCCCCAGACATCACTCGGTACCCCTACTCAAATCTCTGAATATGTTAGACATTAAGTCACTGCACATTCTCTCATGTGTATTATACATATATAAAACGCTAAACTATAATGCCAATCCTGATCTCAAAAGCTTCATAGAAGGTTGTAACAGAACCCATGAGCACCACACCAGAAATAAATACAGTTTTGATATTCCTAGAGTACGACTAAATCAAACCAGAAATGCTCTTCAAATCAAGGGGCCCAGAATGTGGAATGACCTTCCCAACCATGTTAAAGACTGTACCTCTCTCAACCAGTTTAAGTTAAAAACGAAGCTATACCTAATAAATTGCATGTAACCCACCTTACCCCCCTGTTGTGAACCCATGTATGTTTTTTGTTTTTTTGTTTTTCAAATCAACGCTGTTTGAATGTAATTTTCTATAATAATTTGTAATTGTATTTATGCTGCTTTTTCAACAATGTTCCCCCCTCTTTTACCTCTATTTTTTATATGTACTCATCACATCTTTTCTTTTTACCCATTAGTTTTAAGCTGTAGTCATTAATGTTTTTCCTGCCCGAAACGCTTTGCGTAATAGTGGCTTTAGGCATTGTATGTACTAGCTCTATCTATAAAGCCAACAAACTTTGTAAATCTCCTTATGTATGTACCTTACCTAAATAAAGATTATTATTATTATTATTATTATCTTCTAAGGTCATTGGTTGCTTCACATTCCAGAAGATAGTGAAGTAATGGCTTTTCTGTGACAGTTTGGCAGAAGATGCACTCTCACTGTCGGGGTTCACCAATCTCTCAGTTGCATCTGTAACCTAGACGTAGTCTATATAGCCTAACTGCTATTTCCCTGTGGATTCCTTTTGGGATATTTAACCTTTCTAATTTGGTTGCCTGAAGATACCATGTTGCAGATGGCGAACCTTCAGCTATTCTCTGGTGTAGGTAGGCTTTGTTGAGATGTGAGAGTTTTTTGGTGATGATGTTTTTTATGTTCTCTAGGCTGGGTTGAATTGTTTTATGTATCACTGGATGACGAGTTGCCAATTTAGCAATTTCATCAGCTTTTTCATTTAATGGGATTCCAATATGGGAATCCCATTAAATGAAAAGCTGATTCGCTATTCTCAAATCGCTGGCTTATATACGGTTACTACACCTCACAGTAAGATAGGAGGGTGGAAAAACCGTTACCTGTAAATAGGGATAGGATTATAGCTTGTGTAATTAGTTATGCCATTAAGATGATGAGATAATGGAGCGAGTATAGGTTTACTCGCTACAAATCAAATCAAATCAAATGTTTATTCAAGTAATAGTACATACATAGAGGATTAGTTACAAACATAATGTTGGATTTATAGATAGAGCTAGTACATACAAAACTTAAAGCCACTAGTACGCATAGCGTTTCGGGCAAGTAAATATAATGATGGTATTTAGCCTGACTCTGGAGATATCAAAGATATATTTATTTCTGGTGTGGTGCTCATGGGTTCTATTACAACTATCAAGGAAAAGTTTCAGATCAAGATTAGCATTTAGGAACAAGGTTTTGTACATGTAGAGAGCACATGAGAATGTGTGGAGTGAGAGTATGTTTAGCATGTTAAGGGACTTTAACAGAGAGGCTGTGTGTTGTCTGAAGACAGAATTTGCTATAGTTCTAATAGCAGATTTTTGCTGAGTGATGATAGATAGGAGTGTTATAATATAATGTTCTGTGAGATCTCATACTGAGATCTCACAGTATGCCATGTGATTACCATTGAAATGTAAAATGTAAAATATGATTAATAATTGTGTACTGTATGAATTTGTGAGCCCTTTGAGGGACCTTATATGAAAGGGTAGAAATAGCCTAAGCTATTCTATCCTTTTGAGATGTACTTCCTATTCTCAATAAACGTACTTGAACGATGAAGGGGAACTATCTCCCTATGACGACTAGAGAAAAAGACCTGGGAGTGGACATAACATCAAACCTAACTCCGGTGGATTATATAAATAGAATAAGGGCAGCAACATACCCTACACTAGTAAAAGTTAGAACATAAGATCATTTAGGAACCTGAATAAGGAGGCATTCATTTAGATCGCCATACACCGCCTACGTGAGACCACTTTTGGAGTATGCCTCCCCTATCTAAAGAAACACATTGGGAAATTCGAAAAGGTTCAGAAGTTTGCAACAAGACTCGTCCAAGAATTGAGAGGGACGGGAGCTCTGATTGATTACATTGACGGCT